CCATTCAGGGATAGTAAACACTCAACCATTTGAACTACATAGAGTATCTTGTAATGTTTATGCGCTAACATTTATATAAATTTAATATAAATTCTTCTTTTAATCTCTTTTCTCAATGCATCCACCACGGGCAGCCGTCCCAAATCGGCGAGTGCTGGATCCGCCCCTGCATGCTGATAGTACTTGCAGTAAGGAAGCCGACACTTCCTAATCAAATTGAAGCATCAAAAGCTGAGGATGTGCAGTCGTAATCGAGACTTAATAAAGAAAGCTTTGACACCATGTTTACCCGATTTATCTAGGATTCTAAAAACTAGAAAGAGTTCAATTAATCATCAAAGCACAAAACTAAATTAACCGCCTCCCCGACCCTTTTTGGAATCTTCTAACAATCCCTTTTAGACAGTAAGGATTGTCGGTATTTTGAAATACGAAAAAGTCCCAGCAGAGGATCTATGAGACTTTGAAATTGAATGCAAATTGAAAAACGTTTTAGCCTCATTTTTGAAATGGTTGAATCCTTGAAGAGAGAGACGGGGTAAAATGTTCTCTTCAAGTTCAAAATATTCAAACAATTTTGGAAATCTATTTTGACATAGGTGGTGAAAAAGAATAGACCAGGAATGATCAACTGGTCTAAAGAAGAAAATATTGAACCAAGCTTCTTGATAATCAAGATAATTGAAATGAAAAGAAAAATCTTCACCTTTTAAGATGTTCATTTTCTTTTCTTTTCAAGGGTGTTGAGCCAAGTCTTCGAATATCAACACTTTGCAAATTGAGATTTTTGAAAAGTCGATATGTTGAGGATTCTGTTTATTTGCCGTGGGAGTAATAACAGCAGATCCAGTTTTGAGTAGGATCTTCTCATAGAACTCACGGGGTTTTTGAAGGTTATTTGGAAGGAAAAAGGATGATGGGGGAAAAAGATCAAAAAGACATTTAGTAAGATTTGAATTTTTTTCAATCTAGGATGTTTCAATATTGAAAAGGGTAAGAACTTTGTTTTTGACAAAATATTAAAATGGCTTTAGATTGAATTCTGGGAGTTTTCCATAACCAACTTGAACAGCTTTTTTGTAATTTGAAGGTTTTTCTGAAGTTTTTGCAAGAACAGAAAATTTATTTGATGCAAGGAAAATGGTACCTGAGGATGAGTATTTTGAATCAAGAGTATTTTTGTTAAAATTTTGAATGTATTATGTAATTGATGGAGAGGGAAGAGAAATTTTGTTCTTGTTTTTGCTCTTGTTTTTTGAAGAATTTCCAGTAGAGGAAGCCATGTCCAAAGAACTTTGTTGTACCAATCTATATTGACATATTTTCCTTTTTTCTCTATTTTGGAGTGTTATCACCTTCACACGAAATCTCTCTTTTTTTTAAGAAACTCTCAAGTGAGGACGTATGCAAGAACGTTATTCTTTCCTTGTATATAAAGGATTTTGAAATCAAAACAAGATAAAATAGTTTGCTATCTTGCAAAAGTATGTTTTGACACAGGGTTTCCACATCTTTTTGTAGAACATCTTTGGATGCTTTCCAGTCTGTTTTTAAAATAAATGTTTTATTGATTAAATTGTCTTGAAATTTTGAAACACAAAGAACAATCGAAAGGATCTCCTTTTTGACTGTAGAATAATTATTTTCAGGGCCAGTCCAAACACCGAAATAGTAACGAACTAATTGTTGTTGATTTGACCCTTTTGAAATCTGCTTTAAAACTCCACCAAACCCTAAATCTAAGGCATTTGTCTCAACAATAAGACTAGCATTAGCATCAATAATTGAGAGACAAGGAATATCTTCGATTGCTTTTTTGATATTTTGAACAGCTAAAGTA